TCATTTTACCACCTCTAGTCATAACTCTAACAACATTATCATTATTCTTACTATTTAATTCATTGAGCAAATCATTTTGAGCTTTAAGTACTTGTTCTACCTGAGTGGTAACCATAGAAGCATGTTTACTAATAAGTTTAAGTTCACCTTTAACATTAGCCATATAATCACCCAACTGTTCAAGCATATCAGCATTGCGTTTTAATTCTCTACCAAAATAAGCATTGAAGTTTTCTTGTTTAACCATAAAGTCATCAAACTCATCCAAGCACGGGCTAGCAAACTTAGTAAATGGGATTTCAGCTTTATCATATCTATAGAGAGAATTTACCATTACTACCAGTGTCGGGTTTTCAAGACCATGTGTTTCTTCAATAGACGGTAAATTAAGACCATGTATTTCTTCAATAGGAGGTAAATTCTTAACATCTTCAGCTTTAATACCCTTTTCTTTCATAGATTTCTTTGCCTCTTGCATATCTTCAGGACTGAGAAATAGAACACGTCTTTTCTTCGGAGTTGGTTTAGGAATAGGATCATGAGTTGGCTCAGGAAGTGTCCAATTATTTTCATTTGTCAACATATTATTTAATAGAATTTCAGCTTCATCCGGTGTTCTTTCCCTGAAAACAGAACCAGCACAACTATCCAGGTAATCTCTGAAAGCATCGGTTAGTCCATATAAAAGATATCAAGTATTTCATTTTTCTTAAGAGGATGATCAGGCAAAGCATTAAGTAATTGGAGAAGCCTCCCCCAAGCCCATGGGAGACTCTCTTCTTCAATTTGTAAAAATTATATATATCCCTTAAAGCAACTTGTTTCTTATAAGCAGGGAAATATTTAGCAGAGAAGTAATAAATCATATCCTGGGGACTACGCACACAACCAGGATCAAGAGAATTAAACCATATCTTAGCATCACCCTTTAATGAGAACAGAAATATTTTAAGGCTATAAAAGTAGCGAGTTCTCTCATCGTTAGTGAACAGGGTGGCTATATCATTTAATGTAGTAAGATGTGCCACAATAGTTTCAGATTCATAGCCATAAAAAGGATCAGATTCAACCAAAGTAATTATATCAGGATCAATAGAGAATTCATAATCCTTATCAGTAACAAAGATAGGTGAAGTAGCATAAGCAGGATCATATTTCATTCTAGCATTCAGAGTTTTTTGTTTAAGCTTAGCTAATAATTTCTTAAGATCACTTCTATCATTGCAAGCAAGAAAGTCTCTTTTAGTTTCTTCATCCATAACATAGCCCTCAGGCACAACAGGTAATTCATATTTATTAGGAGAGCCTTCATCATTACTTTCATCAGTATTATCAGTTTCAATAATTTCATTCTCTCTAGCCCTAGCAAGTTGTTCATCAAGAAATTCACCAAGTGGCACAGTAGTATCAAGCATAGAAGTAGTTTCATCATAAGTATCATGCATAGCAGAAGTGGCATCATCAATAATATGCGACATATCGGAATTAATAGCAGAAGCAGGTGTAGGTGTCGCAAGCTTACCCAAAACAGAAGGTGAATCAAGTGCAGAGCTAGATGGCAGTTCCTTACCTCGCCTCGTAGTTGAGGGATAAATCTTGGTTTTTGGATCTCTCAAGTTCTTCATAATGATAAGCAGATATAAATCCCAAGTGACTCAAAGAATAGAACTATGCTCTCCGGCAACGGCGCCAAAAAATAGTCTTGATAACCTACAAGTATAGGGGATCGCAACAATTTTCGAGGGTAGAGTATTCAACCCAAATTTATTGATTCGACACAAGGGGAGCCAAAGAATATTCTCAAGTATTAGCAGCTGAGTTGTCAATTCAACCACACCTGGACACTTAGTATCTGCAGCAAAGTGTTTAGTAGCAAAGTAATATGATAGTAGTGGTAACGGTAGCAAAAGGTAACGATAGCAAAAGTAATATTTTTGGTGTTCTGTAGTGATGATAATAATAGCAACGGAAAAGTAAATAAACAAAGAACAATATATGGAAAGCTCGTAGGCAATGGATCGGTGATAGAGAATTATGCCGGATGTGGTTCATCATGTAACAGTCATAACCTAGGGTGACAAAGAACTAGCTCCAATTCATCAATGTATGTAGGCATGTATTCCGAATATAGTCATACGTGCTTATGGAAAAGAACTTGCATGACATCTTTTGTCCTACCCTCCCGTGGCAACGGGGTTCTAGTGGAAACTAAGGGATATTAAGGCCTCCTTTTAATAGAGTATCGGACCAAAGCATTAACACATAGTGAATACATGAACTCCTCAAACTACGGTCATCACCGGGAGTGGTCCCGATTATTGTCACTTCGGGGTTGCCGGATCATAACACATAGTAGGTGACTATAGACTTGCAAGATAGAATCAAGAACTCTCATATATTGATGAAAACGTAATAGGTTCAGATCTGAAATCATGGCACTCGGGCCCTAGTGACAAGCATTAAGCATAGCAAAGTCATAGCAACATCAATCTTAGAACATAGTGGATACTAGGGATCAAACCCTAACAAAACTAACTCGATTACATTATAAATCTCATCCAACCCATCACTGTCCAGCAAGCCTACGATGGAATTACTCACGCACGGCGGTGAGCATCATGAAATTGGTGATGGAGGATGGTTGATGATGACGATGGCGACGGATTCCCCTCTTCGGAGCCCCAAACGTACTCCAGATCAGCCCTCCCGAGAGAGTTTAGGGCTTGGCGGCGGCTCCATATCGTAAAACGCGATGAATCCTTCTTTTTTATTTTTTTCTCCCCGAACACGAATATATGGAGTCAAGGTTGAGGTCGGTGGAGCTCCAGGGGGCCCACGAGGTAGGGCGCACGCCCAGGGGGGGTAGGCGCGCCCCCCACCCTCGTGGCTAGGGTGTGGGCCCCCTGGCCTTGATTCTTTGCCAGTATTTTTTATTATTTCCAAAAATACTCTCTGTTGAGTTTCAGGTCATTCCGAGAATTTTTGTTTCTGCACATAAATAACACCATGGCAATTCTGCTGAAAACAGCGTCAGTCCGGGTTAGTTCCATTCAAATCATGCAAGTTAGAGTCCAAAATAAGGGCAAAAGTGTTTGGAAAAGTAGATACGACAGAGACGTATCAGCGTGCAGGGGTCTGTTCTCCTGCAGAGATGCTTTGGAGGCTGAACTATGCGCATGCATGGAGGGGCTCTCCTATGCTATACATCGATCAGATTTGCCTATTACAGTCGAGATGGGTTCTCTTGTGGCGGTGTCTATGATCACATGTGACGGTATTGACCGTTCTGCTTATGCTTTTCTAGTAAAGGAGATTAGATATTTTCTTAGTCTTTGTCAATCTTGTATTACTCATGTCTCACGGTCGCAAAATAAAGCCAACGATAGTTTAGCTGTTTTTGATAGAGCTTAAGGTAGAACCATGACTGGATTGGTTCGGCTCCTCCGGAGGTGTTGGAGCTGGCTGCGATGGATTGTATTGATTTTAATTGAGTAATACAAGTCTTGAACCCGCAAAATAAAGCATCCGACGGCGCACCTAGTACCTCGCATGATCTTCCTTGAAAGATCTGCAAAGGAAAAAATAGCATGATAAGTATCACTAGTAATAACCATGAGCACAAAAAAGTAAGAGCATCTCTAGCAGATCTGGTATACCCCATCCCACACAAATCAGTTTAAAGGATACCGTAAAAATTCTTTTTTTGCATTTTTACAGTATGACTTCTGTTTCGCCAAAAAAGTTCCTGCAAAATATTGCCTTGTCCCGGCAAAATTGCACAAACCCCCCTAAAAACGTTCGTTCATTTACATTTGGATCCATATCGACCGCTCCCACCGCGAGGATCTCGTCAAGGACAGGAGAAGTGCGCGTGTTGTCGGTGACGACGCCACCGTGGAGCACGAGGAGGACCGTACGGGGGCAGACGCGAGGAGCAGGCGACAACAGCTACCTCGCGGCGGTGGCGGCGGCAACGAGCGAGAGCGGCTGCTTGCTAGCTAGCTCACTCGCGACGCCGCGGTAGCTAGGTAGTTAGCTCGTAGGTGGCGGCGTAAGTAGCAGTAGCTAGCTAGCTAGCGTATCTCGCGGCCGTATCTCACGACGCCCGCGTGGGCCTGCACCTTGTGGGGCGGCGGCAGATCGGCGGAAGCTCGGCGGAGCGGCAGTTAGGGTCCGGTGGTCGCTGACGTCGAGGCATTCCGGCAAGGTCGCGTTCTGGGAAGACCGTGGCGGGAGCCAAAAGTTCCCTCCCACCAACCTTTTTATTTTTATTTTTCAGGTCCTGCAAAAAATGTCCTCAGTCCCCTAGATATGAAGGAAATGACCTCGTGGATTCGGAATCCTATAAAAAAAATCAGTATGGCGGAATTTGAGGGATCTGTTCGAGCTGGGTTACAGACTCCATCCCACAAACAGGCGGTTATTTTGGCCAAGCATGCAGAATTGTTCAAAGATGAACTAGTTTCTTTTGCTCAAACATTTTTCTCTCCAAAAGGAGGACATGCATGACATCACTGCTTACTTGTGACTAGATCGGCATGGTGAGCTCATCACAATTATTGCTCACACGTCTTGCACGAGAGCTTTGGTCGGAAATGACAGAGCGCACATGGCCATGGCCACCTTTGGCGACAAACCCATGTGAATGTTATGGAGAGACGCAGAGAGAGTAAATATCACGCCGTTGCCTGCTTTTACTGCTAGCTGCTCCGCCCTCTTCCCCCCCTCCTCGCGCTCCTGCCCAGCACACAGCCACCAGGCACCTCTGCTGCCGCCTCCTCCGGCCCTCTTTCCCCTCGGCGCCTCCACTCCCCCACCCCCTCCAGCTCCCATCCGCCATCGTCTCCACTCCGACACCCTCTCCAGCCCCACTCCGTCGCCGAGTTTTCCCATCTCCGCCGCCCTCTCCAGATCCAGCCACCAACTCTGCCACCCATCTCCACCAACAGTGTTTGACGTACAAGAACTGTCCAAGGGAAGCGAAAGCCACCGTTCGAGCCATGGACCTCGCCACGGCGGCCTTGCGCTCCCTCCTCCCCAAGCTGGCCGAGCTCATCCACGGAGAATACAAGCTGCAGAAGGGCGTGAAGAAAGATGTGCAATTTCTAGAGAGGGAGATGACGAGCATAGACGCCGCCCTCCGCAAAGTGGCCATGGTGCCGCATGACAAGCTCGACGACAACTCCAAGATCTGGGCCAATCAAGTCAGGGAGCTGTCGTACGAGATGGAGGATGTCGTTGAAAGCTTCCTGGTGGGCGTCCAGGGCTTCGAGCCCGCCGCTAACCCTGACGGCTTCAAAGGGTTCGTGAAGAAGGTGGCTAACCTGTTCACGAAAGGCAAGGCGCGCCACCAGATCGCCAATGCAATCAAAAGCATCAAGGACCAGGTCCAGGAGGTGGCGGATCGACGTGACAGGTACAAGATTGATGATCTTCAGGCAAGTCTAGCTGCTACAACCATGGTTGATCCTCGTCTGATGGCTCAGTTCAAAGATCACAAAGAGCTTGTTGGCATCGAGGGGCCAAGAGATGAGCTAATCAAGAGGCTGGTAGATGAAGATGATTGTGAGTCCAAGCAGCAGCTGAAGATACTCTCGATCTTCGGATTTGGAGGAGTTGGCAAGACAACTCTTGCCAGAGCAGTTTACGACAAGATACAAGCACAATTCGTATGCAAGGCTTTTTTTTCGGTGGGTCAAAATCCCAACCTGAAGAATGTTCTCATAGGTATTCTCCTCCGACTTGACAAAGACACTTGTTCCAATCCGACAATGTTAGATGATGTGCTGCTCATTGAAAAACTCCGAGGGCTGCTTGGGAACAAGAGGTACCACTACCATCCTAATTTGCATGCTGTGAGGGATTTTCCTCATTGCAAATGCATATTTACTATATAGTTTAATTTTTAGCAGCCATAATAAAAAGTGAGGCAGAAATTGGTGCTCCACTTTCTTGCAGATTTTCACATCAGTTAGGATTCAGACTATCGGCATACACTTACGTGTTATAAGAAAATTTTCATTCCATTTATCTACACCTAATTTGAAAAATGCATGTTCACTATAGTATCCTTTAAGCGGCCGTGATAAAGAGGTGAGGCAGACATGGGTGCTTCATTTTCCTGCAGATGTTTCACATCAATTAGATTTAGATTGCATCTGCATGTTCTTACATGTTTTAAGCAAATTTTACCCGATTTACCTACGTCAAATGTTCTTGGCAATTATCTGCACCTAATAGGAATAAATGTTAATTCCGAATAAAAATAAAAAAATAGATGCTTTATATAAACTCTAATAGAATGGATTGAATCAAACCCTTACATGTATTTTGATACGTACTATTTTCCATTCATCATTAATCATTTACTTATGTCTCAGTTGTCCCAAAGCACCTTGTCGATCGTGAATTGAATAATGCCATTTTGGATTCTTGGTTGAGATGCTTGCCAATTTCTTCTATTTCTAGGACGACACTTTAGATATAGTTTTACTAATCAATGAATCTCATGCTGCCATGTCAATAGGTACCTCATCATCATTGATGATATATGGGATATGAGTTCATGGGATATAATCAAATGTGCTTTTATTGATAGCAAGTGTGAAAGCAGGGTAATCATAACTACTCGTATCTTTGAAGTGGCGAAAGAGGCAAGTGATATTTACAAGCAAGAACCTCTTTCTCCTGGTAGATCGAAGGAATTGTTCTGTATGAGATTATCTATTGGCAAAAGCAAAAGCCCTTATCATGAATCGGTTAAGATATCTGAGAAGATATTGCAGAAATGTGGTGGTATACCGCTAGCTATCATTACAATAGCTAGCTTGTTGGCTAGTAAACCAGTAACAGATTGGCCTGGGGTCTATGACTCTATTGGTTTTGGGAATGAAGATAACAAAGAAGTGGATACCACAAGAAAGATATTGCTATATAGCTACTATGATCTTCCATATTATCCACGGCTTTGCCTATTGCACCTAGGTATATACCCCGAAGATTTTGAGATCAGAAAAGACAATTTAATTTGGAAGTGGGTGGCTGAAGGATATGTGCATGAGGAACCAGGAAAAGGATTATTTGAGGTTGGAGAGAGATACTTCAACTTGCTCATAGATAGAAGTATGATCCAGGCAGTAGAGAAGCCATATTACAGCATAATATATGCTTGTCATGTGCATGATTTGGTGCTTGATATGATTCATTTTCTATCAGAAGACGAAGGTTTTGTTACTGCATCGAACAGTAACAGGACATCTCTGTGCATCACTGCTCGTAGGTTAGCCATAAATAGTGAAGCCATAGAGCAGAATGGATATGTGGCTAACTCGAGCATGCAGCAAGTGAGGTCATATAATGCCACCATGTGTCAATTTAGTATGTTGCCATTGCTTTCAAACTTTAAAGCTCTGCGTGTGTTGGCTTTAGAAGAGTGCACTTTCATGGGAAGTGAGCAATTCTCTATGAAGCCGGAAGATTCTCCTTATCATCTTAAGCATCTTGGTAGGCTGATTCACATAAGGTACCTTGGGATATCGGACCAGCTTGAGAGCTTAGAGGTCCCTGAAGAAATTGGGGACCTAAGGTTTTTGCAGGTACTGGACTTGGGCAGAAGTGGCATAAAAAAACTGCCTCAAAGTGTTGGTCGGCTAACACAATTGAAGTGCCTGCACTTTGGCGGTTCTAGCATGGGGGTGTTGGACTGGACGAATCTAACATCTCTGGAAGCGCTACAGTTGCACCATGTCTCTCCAGACTTTCTGAAAGAGCTGGGCAAGCTGAAGGAGCTGAGAGAGTTGAACCTATACTTTGAAGAGGACGATAATATGTTGTTCAAAGATTTGGTGGGACGTGTTGCCAATCTGCAAAAACTTCAAGTCATAAGGGTTACTTGTTGGTATCAAGAGGATCCTGAGCTGTGGTCTGATTACGCTGGCCCTGTGGCCCTTGGGCACCTGCGTCATCTAACACTGCATGTCCTGCTTCCTGTGCTGCCAGTGTGGATTAACTCCTCATGCCTCCCGAACCTCTGCCACTTGGATATGAACCTGATAGCTATGGAGTCGCAGGATATGGAGATCCTCGGGTGGTTCTCAGAGCTCATTACTCTATGCATTCGTTGCGATGATGGCGTTGTTTTTCCTGACACCATGGAGGAGGGTGCATTTCCCAAGTTGAGATACTTGAATCTGGAAAATTCTGACCAACCCAGATTTGTACGGGGAGCAATGTCCAGCCTTGAGTATATTGAGTTCATTGGCCTGGTACCGACCTATGGCTTGGACTTTCATAGCCTGGTGAACCTCCCTCGTCTTGAGAAAGTTGATGTTGAAATCGATGGCAAAACTGCCATGGGTATCGACGTGCTGCAGGCACATGCGTCGTTGAAGCAAGCGGTTGAGATCCATCCCAACCATCCCGCACTCAATGTACGTACTGACATCATTCGAGCCATGGACCTTGCGACGGTGGCCATGGGCTCCCTCCTCCCCAAGTTATTCGAGCTCCTCCACGGAGAATACAAGCTGCAAATGGGCGTGAAGAAAGATGTAGAATTTCTCGAGAGGGAGATGAGGAGCATAGACGCCGCACTCCGCAAAGTGGCCATGGTGCCGCGTGACAAGCTCGATGACAACTCCAAGATCTGGGCCGGTGATGTTAGGGAGCTGGCATACGAGATGGAGGATGTCGTTGAACGCTTCATGGTGGGCGTCCACGGCTTTGAACCAGCTGCTAACCAAGACAGCTTCAAAGGGTTCGTGAAGAAGGTGTCCAACTTGTTCACAGAAGGCAAGACCCGACACCAGATCGCTAATGCGATCAAGGCCATCAAGGATCAGATTCAAGAGGTGACGGATCAGCGTGACTGGTACAAGATTGATGATGTTGAGGCAAGTCTAGCTGCTACAACCATTGTTGACCCACGGCTGATGGCTCAGTTCAAAGATCAGAGAGAGCTTGTTGGCATCGAGGAGCCAAGGGACGAGCTAATCAAGAGACTGGCAAATGGAGATGACTTTGTGTCCAAGCAGCAGCTCAAGATACTCTCAATTTTTGGATCTGGAGGACTTGGCAAGACAACTCTTGCCAAAGCAGTTTATAATAAGTTGCAAACGGAATTTGAATGCAAGGCTTTTTATTTGGTGGGTCAAAATCCTAACCTGGAGAATGTTCTCATGGGTATTTTCAGCCAAGTCGACAAAGCCTCTTGTTCCAATGCAACAATCTTGGATGTGCGCCTTCTTATTATTAAACTCCGAGAGCTGCTTGTGAACAAGAGGTACCACTACCCGTCATAATGTACATGCTATGAGAAACTTACCTCATTTCAAATGCATGTTTACTATATAGTTTAAATTTTGGTGGTCATAATAAAAAAGTGAGGCAGAAATGGGCGTTTCACTTTCTTGCAGATTTTCACATCAGTTAAGATTCAGATTTGTATTGGCATACTCTTATATGTTTAAGATTTTTTTCCATATTTGGCCTATTGTCAAATGTTCATTCCAATTAACTTCACCTACTTTGAAAATGCATATTTACTGAAAGATAATGAGCGGTCCCTAACTCCCTCGATGAGGAGCGGGTCGTATATATTGAGATCGGGGCAAGCCTGCCTTGGCATACAAGGAAAGAGTTACAAGAGTTGGAGAAGGATACGAGAAGGGAAAGTCGGTTGAGATTATACACGTTTTCTCTAACATTTACTATATAGTATCCTTTAAGCGGATGTGATAAAGCGTGAGGCAGAAATGGGTGCTTCATTTTCCTGCAGATGTTTTACATCAATTAGATTTAGATTGCATCTGCATGTTGTTACATGTATTAAGCAAAAAAAGTCCAGATTTACCTACGGTCAAATGTTCTTGGCAATTATGTGCACCTAACATGAATAAATGTTACTCCTTCCGTCCCATAATATAAGATGTTTTCGGAAGCTAAGATAGCTTGTGAAAACGTCCTATATTACGGGACAGAGGGAGTAGTTCAGAAAAAGAATAAAAAATAGATGTATTGTGATGTATTGTATAAACTATATTTGATTGTGGAGTTAACTTTACAAAACTCTAATAGAGTGGATTTAATCAAACCCTTGCATGTATTTTGATAGTGGCTTCCATTCATCATTAATCATTTGCTTATGTCTCAGTTGTCCTAAAGCACCTTGTCGTGAATTAAATAACGCCATTTTGGATTCTTGGCTGAGATGCTTGCCATATTTCTTCTTTTTCTATTTTACTAATCCATGGATCTCACGCTGTCTGTGAATAGGTACCTCATCGTCATTGATGATATATGGGATATGGGTTTATGGGATCTAATCAAATGTGCTTTCATTGATAGTAAATGCGGAAGTAGAGTAATCACAACTACTCGTATTTATGAAGTGGCAAAAGCGGCACGTGACATTTACTGCTTAGAAGCCCTTTCTCCTGGTAAATCAAAGGAATTGTTCAGTTTGAGATTATCTGTTGGTAAAAGCAAAAACCCTTGTGATCCACCGGTTAAGATATCTGAAAAGATATTGCAGAAATGTGGTGGGATACCGCTAGCTATCATTACAATAGCTAGCTTATTGGCTAGTAAACCAGTAACAGATTGGTCAGAGGTGTATGACTCCATTGGTTTTGGGAATGAAGATAACCAAGAAGTGTATAACACAAGAAAGATATTGCTACATAGCTACTATGATCTTCCATATTATCCACGGATATGCTTATTACACTTAAGCATATACCCTGAATATTATGAGATAGATAAAGACATTTTAATATGGAAGTGGGTAGCCGAAGGATATGTCCCTGAGGAACCAGGAAAAGGGCTATTTGAGGTTGGAGAGAGATACTTCAACATGCTGATAGATAGAAGTATGATCCAGGCAGTAGAGTATCCATATCATAGCATCATATATGCTTGCCGTGTGCATGATTTGGTCCTTGATATGATCCATTTTGTGTCAAAGGAAGAAAGTGCTGTTACTTTCGTGAAGAGTAATAGGAAACTCACATCTTCGCATAGCACCACTCGTAGGTTAGCCATACAAAATGAGCAGGATGGATCTGTGGCTAACATGAGCATGCATCAAGTGAGGTCATATAATGCCACCATGTGTCATTTCAGCATGTTGCCATTGCTTTCAAACTTTAAAGCTCTACGTGTGTTGGCTTTAGAAGAGTGCACTTTCATGGGAAGTGAGCAATTCTCCATGAAGCCCGAAGATTCTCCTTATCATCTCAAGCATCTTGAGAGGCTGATTCACCTGAGGTACCTTGGAATATCGGACCAGCTTGAGAGCTTAGAGGTCCCTGAAGAAATTGGGGACCTAAGGTTTTTGCAGGTACTGGACTTGGGCAGAAGTGGCATAAAAAAACTGCCTCAAAGTGTTGGTCGGCTAACACAACTAAAGTGCCTGCGCTTTCCTGGTTCTAGCATGGAGGTGTTGGACTGCACGAATCTAACATCTCTGGAAGAGCTAAAATTGCACACTGTCTCTACAGACTTTCTGAAGGGGCTGGGCAAGCTGAAGGAGATGAGAGTGTTCGAAGTACTCTTTGAGGAGCATGATAATATGTTGTTCAAAGATTTGATGGGAAATCTTGCCAATCTGCAAAAACTTCAAGTCATAATGGTTGATTGTTGGAGTCGAGATTGTAAGCAGTGGTCTGGTTACGCGGGCTCTGTGGCCCTTGGCCACCTCCGTCATCTGACAGTGCATGGCCTGCTTCCTGGGCTGCCAGTGTGGATTAACACCTCATGCCTCCCGAACCTCTGCCACTTGAATATGAAATTGAAGGCTATGGAACCGCAGGATATGGAGATCCTCGGGAGGTTCTCAGAGCTCATTACACTACGCATTCGTTGCAAGGATGGCGCTGTTTTTCCTGACACCATGGAGGAGGGTGCATTCCCCAAGTTGAGATACCTGGAACTGGAAAATTCTAACCAACCCAGATTTGTACGGGGAGCAATGTCCAGCCTTGAGTGTTTTGAGTTCATCGGCCTGGTAGGGACCAATGGCTTGGACTTTCATAGCCTGATGAACCTCCCTCGTCTCGAGAAAGTTGACGCTGAAATCGAAGGAAAAACTGGCATGGATACCGACGTGCAGCAGGCACGTGCATCGTTGAAGCATGCAGTTGAGATCCATCCCAACCATCCAACACTCAATGTACGTGCTACCAACATCGCAATGTAGTCTCTTTCTTATGTGCCTGTAGAAAGAGAGTTTCTTTCTCATGTTGCCTTTATTTTCTTCTGCAGATTCGCGGTAGGCAAATGGATGATTGAGCATGCAGTTGAGATTCATCCCAACCGTCTCGCACTCAATGTATGTTTTACATGTAACATCACAAAGTAGTTTCTTTTTTCATGTACATGTAAAAAGAGTTTCTTTCTCACGTCACCTTTATTTCTTCCGCAAAGAAAAAAGAGAGCAGGAGTAGTATTGTTATTTACTTTATGTAGCTATAGCAAGGGGCATTTGGATTTCAATTTGAGAAAGAAAATGTATTACATACTACTCCCTCCGTTCCGAATTATAAGATGTTCTAACCTTTTTCTGAATCGGATGTATATAGACGTGTTCCAATCTGTATGTAGTCCATACTGGAATTTCTAAAGCACCTTATAATTCGGAACGGAGGTACTCAGGGGCGGAGCCAGAAAATTTGGCCATTAGGTTCGCTCATTCACTCTTTTATGAGAATTTGGTACAAATTTATGAAGATTAAAGTCTAATTTCAACAAAAAGTATAGCACCCATAAACAATACACAACCGTTTCATAATGTGATGCGTATAGATTTTTTAAAAAGCCAAATTTCATCAACTTTGACCAAAATTGTAGGAAAAATCAAATAGCCAAGATCACAAATAACATATTGTGTTGCATTAAAAAAAAGAAAAATGCAAGACATACCTACGTTTAATGGATGACCTTGATATGCAGGTACCATTATCTTGATATGATGGCCAAGTTCTCTTCCAATATTACCGTTCCATAGCCAAGATCGATCAAAGTCCATGGAGAAAACAAATAAAAAAACTAGGGCAAAATAAATTGTACTAGTCAAACAGGTTAGAGAGAACATATACAAGAGAGAGAAGATCTGGCAACGTAATATAATTACCACAATTTTTGGGCTATAGTTGTTGTCGTTGTGGATCTGCAGCGGCCGAAGCGTCGAGCGACACGAATAGAGGAGAGTCAAGCAGGAGAGATGTGAATCTTTCCCTTATTTTTTTTTTAATAATAAAGCAGCTAATGCTTCTGGTCGTCCGTTATTAGTACTTTTGCATAAAAGCTCCTGAAGTTCGTATGAATCAACCCGCAGTCCTGATGAGGTCAACCCGAAGAGGGATAGAAAAAAAAACTCCAAATCGCATCACCATCTCCAGCGTGCCGCTACCCCCTGCCGCGAGCCGACGCCCTCAGCCCCGCCGCAGCGCGCCGCCACTGCCTACCCCGTCGGGACTCCTACCCCTACCCCAACTGCCCCCCACGCCCGCGGCGTTCTACCGTCGGCGACACTCGACGCCGCGGCCGTTGCCGGCTCCCACACCCGCGGGCCTCCGTCTCCCCTGCCGCCGCCGCCGCCGCCCCGCTTGTCTAGCGGGCCGGCCCCGACCATGGGGCGCTGGGGCTACCAGCACCCTCCCACGCCCGTGCGCGCCTCCTTCTGCCCTTCCGCCACGAACGGTGCCGCGTCCTGCAGTTTCCACGGATACGTCCTCCACCCTGACCGACTTCTCTGAGCCTAATGCGATCCCGGTGGTGGCCGCGCCCTGCTCGGCCCGCCGTCCTGCCGTGGCGGGCGCCTGTCGTCGGAGCTCTGGTCGTTGGTTCCAGAGTCAGGCGGTTTCACACGGGGGGCGCCTATCCCGCTGTGCCACCGATCACTTAATTCGGCTCTCTCGACTGGTGCATATAATATGCTTAATTATGTTGTGATTTTTCTGTACCAATGAATGATCCGGGTGAGTGGTTAAAATATTTGTTGGCACACGTGGCTGTGTTAGTGAGAGGTCAATCCGCATCCTTTTCCACTAATTAGCGTGATTTTGATAAGTTCAGATTCTGAAAAGGAGAAGAAAGCCTCAGGGGCAGAGTATTCAGGAGGACACCAATCCAAATCTATGGTGTTTGAGGCAGCTTGAAAGAAGGTTTGCTGCAGGGAAGAGATAGAAAGAGCGAAATAGAGAGGGCAGGGGCGTGATCTGTTGTAAGTATGAAGTGAAGTAATCCTTCCTGTCCTGCTGTTTGTTTTCGCAAGTCTGTTTTGCACAACTCTGTTTGCAGTGCGTGCAGTAACCGATCGATTGCGTTTTGAGGGTTCTAGGTGTCGAATATGACCGGGCCATTAAAATAAAAGTTGTATATCTTTTCAAGACCTTCCCAACGAATATTTATTTGCAATTTTTCGTCAGGTATTCTAGGAGATAATGCCTATCTGAAGTTACTGTCAGTTTTTGTCAGACTGCAGTTTTAGGCATGACTTCCTATTTTGCGAGGCGTTTCAAAGTAACTTCAAGGCTGAATCTGTCCATGGGGCTATGGATGTATTTTCAGTATTTGGTTTGAAATTTCCATGGAGAATTTTTTCTCAAATTTTCGCTGAGTATAGTGAAAGATACAACCTTCTGAATGCTGCTGTCCATTGCGAGTTCTGTTCTGAACTTCTGACAGTTACTGTTTTCTGTATTGAGATTTGAGAGGCATTTTAAAATATCTGTCTAGAGTACAATTAACATAGATATAATTCATTGTTTGATCTTTCCACAGAGTATGTAAGTACTATTTTTTATTGCGTCTACAAGGAGTAATTTAACATTGCTATCCGTTTCAGTTAACTTTGTAAGATCTTCCTGAAACTGTATAGTTTCGGTTGTGAGTTTCAAATTGGTTTGCCATTTTGACGGTACTTAGAGGCCGAATGTGTTGTCTTGAACGAAACTGTTGCATCTTGCTTTAGATGTTTTTTGATAAGGTAACAGCTGCCTAAACTGAAGAATCATTAACTCCCTCGTCGTGTAACTTCCCTGCTGCAGGTGATTGGATCAGCGAACCTTCTCTGTAGTTTAGGATTTGATCAGTTCGAGGAACGTGGTATGTCCCTAGCAAAATTCTTTCACCTTATTAATCTTCTGCGTTCTTTAGCAGTGCGCTGGTCCATGCAGTATCATCAGAGTCATGGATCTTTGACAGAATGTAACGCATGGGCAGTATAGTATTCTCTCATGTTATGTGAACCCTCAGATACCTTTTCATGAGACTGAACCCAACTGTTCCCGAATTTCTTATGTGTTTGTGTATACGATGGTACATAAGTGAGTTTCACCATTATTGGTCTATTTCTTGATGTTTTTTCCAAGGATATTCGATTGTTGAGTTAATTGTCAGTGATGCCATCACATTGAGTTGCCATTAAACTCTAAAAGTTACAGTTTCTTTGTTTTCTATGTTATGTGGAAGAATGTAGATTTGCAATGTGAAGAGTTATTCCAGGACAATAGTGGCGGCTACCAATGCAATTATTTTAATTATTATAGAACATCTGATTGACAATGTGGTCTGTGTTGCTGGAGTGAGCTTTTTTATGGAATGGAATACATGTTAAAGCAGAACCAGTGTAAGCTGATATTCTTCATGTTGTCCTTCAAGACAATATTTCATATGTTGTAAATATTTCGTGGTCACCTGGTATTGGAGTCTAAAATTTCGCATGGTGGTGAATTACTGAATGCATGCCAAGGCAGTTCCATACAAAAACACTTTCCTAAAAATAAAAAAGAATACCTTGCTAATTTATTAATACAAATACACTACCAATAAGGCTCTCTTTTGGACAATGAGGTGTCTGCTGGACATATGTTAAGATGAACAGGACCCCCAGCTCGTAGCTCCTGCTCGTGCTGCAGGGCGAGCCTGCATCTCTAGCTCGGCAGCTCTAGCTCCTGCTTGATCAAACATCATTTGTAATATTTACCATATCACTCTGGTTAAGAGGTGAAATATTTACATGAATTAAAATACATTATAATTGTGCTAGTTGGAAAACAAACGGAAGAGAGATGAGGCGTTCGGCTGCGTGCATTTTCTGTTTGCTTTTTTGCGTTTTCTGTTTGCTAATCATGGTTTAGGCCTGGGCATGGACTCATTGATATTTGCTCATGGGCTTTCGGGCCCTTAATTTAGCTATCCACGTGACCACAACAGGTATTTTGATGGGGTCAGCGACCACTTTTTGCTGGGTTCATGTGAATCAAATAGTAGCTACACGCTGTTGGTTTTGATCTGACGGCTTAACAGGCCAGTTAGATCTATTAGTCTAACAGAAAAAAGAAAAAGATAATGATAATGAAAAGGCCCCACGCACCAACGTACGTGGGCTTTTTATCCCAACTAAGGCGCCCTGATCGGGGGCACCCAAACCAACTGATGGTTTAGGTCCCCTGTCGCCAGCACTAGATAAAAGGGGGTACGGGAGAGGGTTGGCAGCCTGCGCGATCACAATTCTCGTACGGTTTCACTCCCCTCCCGATATTCTCTTACCCCATCCGATCAGGGGGGGCGCTGCAGCGACGGGAAGACCTACTCCAGCCGCCGCTGCCGTCCCCGGCCAGTCCCGGTGGCGTCTTGAAGGGATCAGGACGTCGAGGAGAACCTCTGCTTCGACTACATCACGCCTGCACCGAGCAGGCGATCATGTCGACTCCCGAGACGTGTAAAGGATCTCTAAACCCTCTATGTTCATGTTTATTAGGTGATCTAGATGCAATCTGTTTCTGCTAATGGCATCCCATAGATGCATAATTACTCCAACAATGATATCAGTCGCCAATCTTGATTGCAATAGATCCCTACCTTATTAATCAGTAGATCAACATCATGTTTAGATCAATGACATGTTTAGGGTTTTAGGATCAAAATTGAAAGCTTTAGCCCCTGGTTATCCCAATACGCATGCTATTTTTTTATGCCCTCTGTACATCATCATGTTGTTTTTCTAATTGCTACGGATTAAGTACTGTCATCTTTTGGTCAATCAATTTTAATTAATCTAAGTTAAGATCTAATGCTCACTTTCATGTTAAGTTGATTAAAATTGATCATGCTTAAGTACTGTTTCCGTATGCATTAGCGAAAATATTATGCAGAGGGATACACGCAAGTCAACAGTAGCAACCCCTTATGTTTAAGAACCCTAGAATTCATCCCCAATTCATAAGAACCCTAATTCTGCAATTAGGACTGTTTTCCCCCAAATCAAGTACTAATGCACACAAATT